ACTAGGCCCTTTGCCTTTCCTCTTTGAATGTATAGAGCAGAAGTATGTGAATAAACAATGCTCAGCAGTTCTTCAAGCGTAAACATTGCTGGATGTCTTTACTCAATTTCCAGAGCACTGAAATATATTTTTTTTTGAATCAATTTCATCCAACTTTATAGCTACTTTAGGGGGAGAGGATTTGCTGACCTCCTCACTCTCTTTTAATCAGTTTTTGTCTTGGCTATAGTTTGGGCTTGCTAGTCTTATAGTCTCTCCTCAATTCAACTTAGTGTTTACTATGAAATTGACACAATGCTGGATACTGGCACTGCAAATATGAGGAAATGTATAGTTGTTGCCTCCAAGATAATCATCAGAGGAGAGGTAGAAAAAGAAACTTAGCAGAATTGGGTGGGTGGAACTAACATTAATTGAGCAGTTACTGTAGGCCAATACTTGTGCTAGAGCTCTTAAAAACATTATATCATTTAATAATAAAATTATCTAGTGCTCTCTTAATATCCATGTGAAATATAATTATTAAGACTTTTAAAAAAAATTTACTGTTTTTTTAAAATATATAAAAGCATAAATAAGAGTAAAATGTCCCACAATCTGATTCCCTCCATGCCTGCTAAAATTAGTTCAAAACAAAAAATTAAATACAAAGTAGTATATGAACATGGTTAGAAAAATTAAGAGTACAAAGAGATATAAAAAGTAAAAATCCTTCTTGTCTCTCACTTGAAAGGCAATCACTTTTAATAATTTCTTGTAAGTTTCTCTTAGACATTTTTCTAGACATATTTTCATGTATGTGTGTCTATGGTTATGTGTACGTATATACTTGTCCTTTTATACAAAATAGATTATACTGTAATGCTATTATATACTTTCTGTTTTTCATTTTTTACTTCATCTTGCAGACTTTCTCATATTAGTACATACAAAGAGATTTCCTTTTAACAGTTGTATAATATTCCATTGTATGAATGTACCAGTTGTTATTTTCATGATTATTCAGGTTGCTTTCTGTTTTGGGTTCATATCAACAATTCTACAAGGAATATTCCAGTTCTGGTATTGTGAAAAACATTTTCAAGTATGTTTCTAGGATAAATTCTTAAAAGTGAAATTGCTGGTTATATTTATGTACATTTCTTTCTTTTTTTGATAGGAATTGGCAAGCTGTCCTCTAAAATAATGCACATTTTACTGTGCTACCATTTGTTCATGAGCTAGCCTATTTCTTTCACAATCCCACCAACTCTCAATATTCTCAAATCTGATGAGAGAAAATGTGTACATCATAATTTCTAAAAGCTGACACATCTTAGAATACATGCAATGAAATGAATGTTTTAAAATACTTATATTATTAATTTTACCATTGTTCAAAATCTTTGTCAAACTTTTTGGGAATGACTTTCAGAACAACTTAATAAGCCACTTACTCTCAAATCACTTTTTTACTTTAAAGTTTATTTTGAATCCCAAATGATATTCCTTATCTTGAGCAGTGGCACCAAGGTTTGTTTGGGAGCTCTAGCCCCACTTTTAAATAACAGTCATCAATGACCGCCAATAATAATAAGCAAAAAAAGTACATTAAATAGTGAATAAAAGAATCTTTAGGAAAATTTCTATTTGTATTTATTTGTGTCATATAGTCAAAGCAAAATGAGTGATCTCAGTTGAAGCTTTAAGACAAGTCCACTACCCACCCACCCTTCCCCAATTCCTGACCTGCAGCCTCTCAATATATAAATTCAGAAGCTTCCAATCTATGCATTTTATTCACAGGGCTTTGGATAAAGATGGTATATGGTCATCCCACTCATTCGTTATAATATTTAACAGATATGTATTGAGTACAATATACCAAGCACTGGAATAGATCTTATGTATATAATTTTGAGCAAAAACAAATTGAGATTTCATGGAGCTTACAGTCTAACATAAGAGACAGACATTAGTCAAGCAATTACACACATCATATATATATGCATTGTAGAAAATGACTTAGTCCAGGGCATTCAAGATTGCCTGAGTCAGACCATGCTGGGCCTTGCAATTTATGTTCAACACATTTGACCTTCATTCCAAGAGTGATGGGAAGCCATAGAATGATTTTAAATAAAGAACAATGTAATTAGATTTGAGATCTGAAAAGATCACTCTTGCTATGGCTTGGAAAATGGACTATAGAGGCAAGAAATGCAGTGAAGTCAGCTAATAGTTTACTGCATATGTCCAACTGAGAGATAATGTTTGGACTAGGGTCGTGATGGTGGAGATTCACATAAAGGGATTTGTGATGGTGGAGATACACATAAACGGATGAATTTGAGAAGAAGCAACGGCAAGACCTGTGGTGCTTTGGAAATGGTGAGAAAGGAAGAGAAGGAAGATAAGAATGTTTCCTTTGTTTCTAGCTTGTGGCACTGAATACTGGTGGGGTCTTTTACTGAGAGAAGGGGCAGTGCCTGAGGACCAGGTTTGGGAGTGCTAATGTTCTTTGGGGACAGTGGTTTTCGAGATCTCTTTCTCTTTTACTGAGAGAAGGGGCAGTGACTGAAGACCAGGTTTGGGAGTGCTAATGATGTTCTTTGGGGACAGTGGTTTTCGAGATCTCTTTGAGATTTACAAGTAGAGATGTACAGTAGACAGTAGGATATCAGTGTAGAATTCAGAGGCCAGGTCCAGGCTGAAGATAAAACTGGGATTCACTGGCATGTGGTTGATTAAGGCATTGTTGGAATGAGTGCTATCAACCAGGGAGAGAGCTCTGGACATAGTGCCAGCATTATAACTTGAGGATTTCTGTCCTTGAATGACAGAGAATGAACTGGAAAACCAGACTGAAAATGATTTGCTGAAGAGGATAGTGTGATGTTACAGGAACCAAGGGAGGAGAATTTTTTTAAGAGGGAGAGAAATGACAATACTATCAAATGCTTCTGACAGGCTAGGTAGCACAGGAAAACATTTGGATTTAATGGGTGACGGGTAGCACCTCTTGATTTTTTCCTATTCCTCTATCAGATTAGATCAACTATCAAGTTAGAAAGCAATAAACTACATTAGTTTAACATTGAGTAAAAATGATTTTGTCAGATATTTTTCAGTGTTGTGGTCCCACCTTATATTGAAAGGCAATGTAAGAAATTACTTTTAAAAACATTTTTGCATGTTTTAGAAACCATTCTTAAAAACTTTGAAGATGTAATTAATCTATTACTCAATAATTTTTAAATTAATTAATTAACTAATTAAATTGAAGAAATGATTTAATTTTTATTACTCTGTCTACCTCGCCCCTCTTTCCTCCCCCCTAACTCAGTAATTTGTATACAGAGATTTTCTTGAAAATATTGTCTTAGAATTTAGTACCAGCAAGAAGTTCCTCTCTCGAGGAATTGGTAAGTTTCCTTTCTTTAGACAAAGAATATAACCGAATTATATTAACCTAATATATATTAAACCTAGATATAACAATATGACCTAGATATAATGAGGAGATTCAGAACTATACTTAATACTGAAAGAATCTAACAAATTAATCTCCTTTCTTTATGTAGATTTTGCTCTCTGACTTAATCTTTTCAGTATTACAGAGTATAGAGATTTAATTTGTAAAATAATTCATATTTTTTAGATTAACATAAATATACACATAGAAAATACATAAAAATAAAATGAATAAGTATGTAAAAATAGTTCAAACCCTATATTCCCAATAATTAATGGAGAGGTATCACAGTGTAGTGGGAAGTCAGATATAACTAGACTGAAATCTGGCCCAGCCACATGCTACCAGTATTTGATTTAATCTAAAAGGAGATATTAAATACATACCATATGGGGTTGCTATAAAGAATGAGATAATATACACAAAGTACCTACTACACTTGGCACGTAATAGGGACTTAACTGGCATCATTCATCAAAAATCAAATTATGTTTCATGGCAAAATTTGTTTAAAAATGTATTGTTAATTTTTTTAGTTATAGTTTCTATTTGGCTTGCCTTGGACTCACTGGCTCTTGTTGTCTTATTTGAATTTGTATTCCTAACATCAGCACATTTGCTGGCATGTGGTTGATGTCCAATACAGGTTTGTTGGTGAATTAGTGAAGGAATGAGAGAATGGAGAATGAATTTGGAGTGTTTCCACACATGTCTCCCTCTCCGCTCTCACCCTCCAGCCTTCTTCTCTGTACTATTCAACTCCTACCAGTCCTTCAAGGCCCCTCAAATCCCACCTCTGTTATGAAGCTTCTGATAATTGTAACTTGTATAGGTTGGTCTCCTGCCTTCTACCCAGGTGGTTTTCAAACTATTTTTAGCAGCGGACCTTCTTTAACTGAAAAACCTTGTGCACTCTTAGTTTATAAAATAGAGAAAGGAAATGCTATGCCCATTCGCCCCACCTCTTCTGTAGTAGTCCTTCTACCTTGCATAGACCCCAAATTACATTCAACACATCATCCTGCTTTATTCTCCAGTTGTCCTATGTGTTCACAATTCATGTTCTGGTCACCCCAGCAGAACTATAAGATCCCTAAAGGCAAGAATAATGTCTTAACTTCCTTCCTATCCCTTGTGAGACCTCGTACAGTTGCTGAATCTGTACTAAGTGCCCAAGGGGTGTTCATTATTTCTTCTGCTGCTTCTTCCTTTCCTTCCTTAGTTGATGTTAAGTGAAGGGGATTGAAATCTTCCTGATTGGTACAGGAGGCCCATCAGAAGGAGTCTTTATGAATATTTTTTAAGCATCTGGTTCTGTGCAGGACACTCATATACGTTGTGTCACTTAGTTCTCACATCCCTGTGGAAATATATATTAACATTCCAGCTTTACTGATAGAAAATTGAGGCATTGAGAATTTAAGTAATTTGCCTCAGTCCTACAAGAAATAAATTTTAATTCATATGTGTTTGATTCCAAAGCTCTGGCTGTTTCCACTATAGCATGTGACCTCTGTTTTAAGTATGTTTTATCTTTTCTTGGAAGGAGCCCTGTACCCAGATGGAACATCTGGAAAAAACAAGAATGACGATATGGTTCCTCCTGGCAAAAACTATACTTACGTCTGGCCAGTAAGAGAAGAATATGCCCCTGCTCCAGCAGATGCCAACTGCCTGACCTGGGTGTACCATTCACACATCGACGCCCCTAAAGACATCTGCTCTGGGTTAATTGGCCCGCTGCTGGTGTGCAAGGAAGGTAAGGAGACTTTTCCAACCTCCCCTCCCCACCCCGCCCCCATGAGCCTCCTCTTAGGTGTGTTAAAAAGTGTATATAAATTTCAGGTCCTGTCTTCTTTACCTCCCTTGCTCAATACAGATTGTGCTTCTTCTTCTAAGCTTTCTGTAAGATTAGGGAAATTCTTGCATAGGAGATCAATCTGACACTATAACAGGAGCAATAATTCAGACTTCTGTTTAAGAATCAAAATAGCTTTCTGAAACATATGCATTTTTTTAAAGAGGACATTCCATATTAATAGCTATTCACATCATATTAACATTACACATAAGAACGTTAAAAATATAAACAAGTGACCAAAACATTTTTGCTTCATTATTTTACCCATATGACCACTTTGCTATTTTATTCCCTATTGATTTAGTGTACCTGTAAATAAGGTCTACTTCCTTAAGGGATAGCCAGCTTTCCAAGTCTACAGTTGTGAAGACTTCTGTTTTATGACTTTTTGCTTCTATGATTCTGTCATTTCCATTAAAGCCCTTAGCTGCTTGTATGCTGTGGGTTACTTTTGTGCCTACAGGCCTTTGACAAACTTCACACTTATCTGACACCGTTGGCAGGAAGCAAACCTCATCTTGCCTTAGTTCATTTTGAACTTTTTTCTCTACTCTTTTGAACGTGCATGATAGGTGTCCTGAATAAATATTCAGGGACAAGGACTGATGTAGACCAAGAGTTCGTTATAATGTTTACTCTGGTGGATGAGAATCAAAGCTGGTACCTTGATGAAAATATCAGACATTTCTGCACTGACCCGGATTCAGTTGACAAAGAAGATGCCGTTTTCCGGAGGAGTAACAAAATGCACGGTGAGTATCTCCCATGTTTCCAAACACACACTGACTGCCTTCTGGGTATCTGATACCATGTGGATGCAAAAACACAGAAATGTCAAATCTATTTTTCCAAGATTTGTAACTTAATGATGAGAATGATTAGAAAGAGATATGAAATACACTATGTGTCAGAACCTCAAACGATTTGGGAAGGGACAAGTCAAGAGATACGAGCTAAATTAGGTATGACAAAGCTATGGTACAGAAAGTGGAAGGATTAATGGTATTATCAGGAAAGAATCAGAGGAGAGTCCAGAGGATGGTTGGGTTTAGATTGACAGAAGAAAAGAGAACGAATCATTATCATGTAACAACCCTGTGCTTTGCAACCTCTTGCTTTATCCAGTAACCATTTTCTGAGCAGCTGCTAAATTTCAAAAACTATTACACCTGGAGTTTAAATGCAGAGTTGTGGACTTATGTTTCTCAGACATTCTTTTTGTTTTGTTTTGTTATTTTTTCCCATACATTATTTAAATCAGCAAATTTATTGAGCATTCACCATGACCTAGACCCTGTATTTATTGAAAGTAGTAAAAATGTCTACAGTTATCCTGATAGTTGAGACATAATACTTACACATCCTTGTTTTGCAGAGTAGAGGCTTAATGCAGAATTTCAGGATTTGGAGGTTATTAAGCAGTCTCATTCCATTCTTTTCCTGGAGAGTTCTAGTGAACATAAAGAACATCTTCAATATAAACGAACACCCCATGTCATTCATTGACAAATTTCCTCCACCTCTGCTTGTCTATCTCATAGTTATCCTAACCAAGACAGAATCAATGTAGTCATAAACTCATAGGAGAGAAGAAAGAAGCTGAAAATCATCTGACTTCCCCCATTTTTCAGATGAAGAAACTGAGGTCAAGAGACCATCAATGACTTGCTTAAGGTCAAAATGTTAATTAGTACCACAGTTGCCTGAGAGAACCTGAGAGAGAAGTCCCATAGCAAATTAATTTAATTTGGTCGTGTCTGATTCCAAAGCATGTTGAGGTATGATTGTTAGTATACTGACTCTTTCCATTGAATTTTATACTCTCTCTTTTCCTTCCAGCAACCTTAGTTGTAGTGGGTGCTTGGAAAATATTTTAGGAAGAAAAGAAGTAAGAGAGAGGAGAAAAGAGAGGGAGGCAGGGGGAAAAAATGAAGGCTGGGATAAACGAAGACCTAAATTCAAATTATTGCAATGACCAGTTAGTTAACTACTATCCCTGTTTTTAGCAAAATGAGAGTGGTGATCTCAAATCTTGCTGAAAACTACTAATTGTGATGATTTATGACTCAGCTGTCCACATAATTCCTCTTACTCTTTTGGAGTGAAAATGTCCAACAAAAATGAATGAATTTCATCAGCAAATATAGACTGCATTTAAAAAATCAGCCTGTATACAGAAGTAGGTATATGCAAACAATCCTTCTTCCGAATGGCAAAGCAGATCTAACAAACACAGAAAAAAAATTAACCTAAAAACAAAAACAAACAAACGAAAAAACTAGTCTATAGAGATGCTCAGTCAACACAAGATTTATTGACAAATTTACTTAAAGTTACTAAAACGGCTTAGAACTAATTGTGCCAGCTAAGTCATTATCTTAGTAACAATAGTTTTTAAACTCAGTTTAGATTTAAGAAGTCCTAAGTCAAGTTATTTTCTGTACTTGGTCAACTTCTAACTGCCATTTAGATCATTTAAAGTATTAGGTCTCAGACTTAAGGTGTAAGCTCAATCAGTATGGTTCTTCTCTAGCCAGAGCTAGTAAAAAAAAGATTTTTCTCCCTGCTTTTAAAATAACAAAATATATACATGTCTCATAAGTTCCTTCTAATCAGTTCCTTTCCTTTCCATCTTGCTATTTGCTTTTGTCACTTAAATCAAGTAGCTACTATGCGCCAGCTTTTCTGCTAGGTCCTGATAGCTGTGAGATGAGTAAGACAGGGTTTCTAGTTGCAAGGAACAGAGTCCCATGGAGAAGGCAGATATGCAAATGAAGGACCTGGAAAACTGCCATGAAAGTATGAGCAGCACTCTGTTTACTCCTGATCTCATTGTGTCTACATAGCAGCTCCAAGGCTGTTTTCAGTTATGTGCCAATTGTCGCTTTTTTTTGACTGCTTGTCTGTCTCCCCAAAAGACCAATACCTTTTATTCCTTTCTGGGGCTACATTTTATAAAAGAAGCCATGCTTTTCTGCATGAAAACATTACAATCAATGATCTATGCTGATTTTCCAGTTGTGCCAGAGAATGAATTACTATCGTTTCTGGTCCTGCTCACCTCTGCAGGGAAGCCACTTCCACTAGTGTGCTTCTGTTTTTCAGCTCTCAATGGATACCTCTTCGGAAACTTCCCTGAGCCTGATATGTGTGTTGGTGAATCAGTGTCCTGGCACTTATTTGGGATGGGGAATGAGATAGACATCCACTCTATCTATTTTTATGGTAACACCTTCATCAGCCGAGGGCATCGGACTGATGTGGTCAACCTGTTCCCAGCCACCTTCCTGACAACAGAAATGATAGCTGAAAATCCTGGGAAGTGGATGATAACCTGTCAAGTCAGTGATCACCTACAAGGTAAAAGGACAAAGACCAGTGTGGAGATGCTTGCAATGGGACAATAAAACCACGCAGTCAATAGTGCTCATTCAATGACTGCTGTTAGATAGAGTCTTGAATGTGTTCTATTTAATTAAATACTAAATATATAGGAAAATATGTAATGCTTATTTGTAATCCTATCAACAGATATATATTGATCTAATCCCTATGAATCAGGTAAGAGGTGACTGAAAGAAATGATAAAAACTTCAAGGAACCTACAATCTAGTAGTTAGACACAATGAGACATTTACAAAATGAATAATACTTGAAGCAAAATGATTAATGCTTTGGGCACCATAGTCACTTCTCTAGAGCAATCAAAAAAGGCTTCCTGAGGAATTGGTTCCTAATCCGAGACTTGAAATATAGGTAGAGATTGAATAGATGAAGAAAGGAAGAAAGGCTTTTCATATAGAAGATGCAACATGAACTGGGAAAAACACATGTTCTATATGAGCAACTATAATTAGAATAACATGTTTTTGGCATTGGAAAGGAATGTATAGATAACCTGGGCCAATCCTCCATCCAATTATTGAATCGCCTTTGAAACATCTCTTTTAAGTAATTACAGCAGCCATTTAAACTCTGGGCTGTTCTCTTAGAACATTCTCCCTTATATTGAGACAAAATCCAATGATAGGTGCAAAATCCTACGATAGGTGCACAATAGACATTTGTGTACTTAAATGCCAGTTGAATGACTTGGTCCTGGTTCTTTGGGACCATACAGAACAGGTTTTATTTAGCCGGACCCTCAGCTCATGACAGAAGAGTGATGAGAGAGAAGCCTAGAGAGGGAGCAGCTTTAAAAGGCAAGGCTAAGGAGGTAGGACTGTGTCTGGAAGGCAATAGGGAGTCTTTCTAGATCCTTAGGCACACAAGTGACATAATCAGTGCAATGATTTAGGAAGGTAAATATGATATCTATGTGCAGAAAGGATTCAGGAGAGATTCTGGCCACTGGAAGCTAGTTAAGAAGCACTGGCAACATTAGAGTTATGACATATAAAAGATCTGGCCTAAGGTGGTAAAAACTAGACCAGAAAAAGAAAATGTGTCAGTGGGATAAACATAGAAGAAATACTGTGTGATTAAGTTTGGATACTGACTAACTACAAATAGTCGCTAAGAGTACAGGGATGCAACGTTTCAGGGCTGCTCTGATAATACATTCTTGTTCTCATCAACCTTAAGCAGCCTATCTCGGCTTTAGTCAGCTGGGATATTCCAATTAACTTCAATTCAACAAATGTTGAGTTGATCAGTTAACATGTATCTGATACTGTTTAAGGAAGACAAAGATGAACAAGATAAGTTTCCTATCACCCCAATCCCCCACCCCAACAGCTGACTGATGTGTAATCAACAAATAGAAATTGTATATATTTAAGGTGTACAACTGGATGTTTTGATATATGTATACATTGTGAACTAATCTCCACACAGCCTCAAGCTAATTAACATAACCATCACCTCACATAGCTGTGTGTGTGTGTGTGTGTGTGTGTGTGTGTGTGTGTGTGTGTGTGTTTGGTTAAGACGACTTGAGATCTCAAGGAGTACAAAGCTTCAGTTATGCAAGATGAATGAGTTTTGGAGATCTAATACTCAGCATGGTTACTACAATCAATAATACTGTAGTATATACTTGAAATTTCCTGAGAGTGTAGATCTTAAGTGTTCCCAACACAAGATCCCTACTCTTAAAGGTTCTCATGCTATTAAATCGGAGAAACTAGTTTTAAACTAACATTAGCAGCCATTTGAGACTAGTAAGATTGCTAAGCTTAGCTAATAGTTATGGACCTAAACTGGTATTTATAGGTTACTAAAATACAATATTTCCTAAACTGTCCATATCTTCAGAAAAAAATTATTGTAAAAAAATTAGAAAATACATATAATTCAATTTTAAGACTCAGTAATCCCATCTAGAGGTAATGATGCCACATTTGGGTGAAGATCTTCCATCACTATTTTCTAGACCTTCATACTAAGTGCATGCATTATTTAGAAAATAAAATAAAATACTGCCCTGTAGCTTAGTTTTTCCACTTATTAATATATCAGAAATATATTTACATGTCAGTGAATATAGAGCTACTTCATCATTGTTAATCTTTCCAGGGTTCTTTATGAGGAGATTATAATTTACTTAACCAACACTCTATTGCTTAAAATTTATATTTTTGCTCTCTCCTTTTTTGGTGTTATAAAATAATATTGATAAAATCAATTTGCAGATAAGTTTATACTTTTGTCTGATATTTCCTTAGCGAAATTCCTAAATTTGGAATTCCTGGGTCAAGGAGTTTGATTTTTCTTTAAAGTTATGAACATATATTGCCAAATTCCCTTTTTAAAAGTGTTGCTTTTCAGTGTGTGAGCATTCTCTTTTCCATATTCATCTGCCAACACTGAGAATTATTAGTCTTTCTAATCTTTACCAATTTGTTAGATGAACAACAGTGTCATTTTATTATTATTAAGGTTAAACTTTTTTTTCATTTGTTTATGAGCCAATAGTATTTCTTTTGTGAATACTATTTATGTTCCTTGCCCATTTTGTATTGGGAGGTTTACTTTTTCTTTTCTTATTTTTCAACATTATTTACATATTAATCTTTTGTCATATGTATAAAAATATCCCCCTTCCAACCATTAATCCTTTACTTTTTAAATCTTTAAGTATAGTTTGGTATACAATATTGAATTGGTTATATTAGTTTCAAATGTACAATATAGTGATTTGACATTTCTATATCTTACAATGTGATCACTCCACTAATTCTAATAATCATCTGTCACTGTACAAATCTATCACAATATTATTGACTATATTCCTCTTCACCTTTTTCACTCATCCCCAAACTCCTTCCCTTCTGGTAACCACCCCTTTGGTCTCTGTTTCTATGATTGTGTTTTTGTTTTGTTTTGCTTGTTTATTTGTTTTTTGTTTTCTTAGATTCTAAATATAAGTGAAACTATATGATATATTAGATATATTAGATATATATGATATATATATCTGTCTGATATATTTCACTTAGTATAATGCCCTGTAGGTCCATTCATGTGATATATATGCAATGGAATATTAAGCAGCAATGAAAAAGAACAAAATCTTGCTATTTATTTTTTATTTTTTACTTTGAACTTTTTTATGGTCCTATTTTCTGTACAAAAGTTTTAAATGTTCATGAAGTCAAATCTATCAGTTATTTTGTGTATGATTTCTTTTGTGAGCATTTATACCTTGGCTGATGGTTTTCCTCTGTTCTGCAGCTGGTATGCTGGGGCAATACAATGTTGGTAACTGCAGAAATGATATTTCTCATCCCAAGATGAAGACGAAGATGAAGGGTCATCAGAGGCGCTACTTTATAGCAGCAGAAAAAATTATTTGGGATTATGGTCCTCAAGGCTATAACAAATTCAGTGGTCTTCCCCTAAATGCCTCTGGCAGGTAAGCTCTTTTTGCTCATATTTGTAAGCCTCTCATAAGAGAGGCATCTATTAGGTGCTTCCCTGTGATCTCATTCACACTGCCCTTAAAAGCACATACTACATAGATGGCATAATGACACCATTTAAGGAGTTCTGAGCCCTGTCTATACCACTGGGAATTAGCAGACTATTTATTGCTTTGTGATTTGCTGGCTAAATCAAAACACTATATTGATTCATTCACTCACTTATTTATCCATTGAACATTTCTTGAGCACCTACTGTGGGCAAACTTCAGTGCTAAGTGCCATGAGAAATACTTAGCGGACAGAGAACAGAATAAGGTCATTGCACATACGGAGAACACACTTTTGAAGAGGGAATAAGACAGTACTCTCTTTCAATGGAAATGAACTGGCCAAAGAGGGTTACTCTTTTTAGTGCAAGGACAGCCTGATATAAGTTATGCTCCCTTACCCGCAATTCCTTTTCCTCCCCGTACAGTAAAATTACATTTTCTTTCAAAATTTAACTCTAATGTCACCTCCTAAGTGAGGTCTCTTTTGACTCCTGAGTCATAGTTAATCATTTTCTCTCTGACCTCCCATCGTGTATTTTATTTTTTGAATTGAATCTAAAAATTCATTAAGTGGATATAAACTCCTGTAACTTCTTATGGTAGAATCACATGCAATAACGTCTGTGAAAGCATTTAAAAATGTACAATGTGATAACAAGAAGCGTTGCTATTACCCTATAATCATTTTTATGTTTGAGGGAATGTTTTTAAAATTTTCTTTGTTTCTTTCATTGTAAATTTCATTAATTCATTCATTCTCCCACCAAACTGATGCACTTAAATCTTGCCTAAAGATTTTTGTGAACTGTATATGGAAAACTCTAATATCACATTTTCTATTGATCAGTATTTCTCCATAAACAGAATAATGAGAATTAGCATTGAAAATTATGTCTTAGAGGCCTTCCAGAATTCTGAAGTGCCTTATAAAATATGGAACATTAAGCTATATTCAATTAATAATTAATAGATGTGAAAGCACAATATACTAAGTAACATGAGGGACACAAGGAGGTCTAAGACCTTGTTCCCAGCCTCAAGTGGAGAAAGAAACTGTGCACACAGAAGAGAAGTAATTTTGCAAGTTACAAATAAGATTAAGATGAGTTATCCAGACAGAGTTCTCTGGGCGTGCAGAGAGAACTAAGATAGTCAGGAACACTTCACAGAGAAAGCGGAATCTAAACAGGTTCTTGAAGAATGATAGAATTTATACAAGTGGATAGCAAAAAGAGGAAATTTTAGATGCAGGAGTTAATGGAGAGTGATTAGATCAGAATGATTGAAGTGGGAGATTTGCATAGGAGAACGGGCACTTGCATAGAACAATAGGAAGGGAGCTGGAGTAAAATAAACTGGATATCAATTGCAGAGATCCTTTAATCCTCATTTGATTGGCAATTGGAAGCAAAAAAAGATTTTGCAGTTGCTAATTGCAATGAAAATTACCATTTTTGGAGATTAATGTTGTAGTTGTGTACATGCTGAGAAAAAACTGAGTGAGTCAATGTGAGATAGAGGATAGAGAGAGTGCAGTTGGAGGTCCATATAACAGTGCAAACACAAGGTGATAAGGGCATGAATGAGGCTTGTGGCAGTGGGAAGAAAGGAAAGGAAAAGACACAAAAAGAAGCAGAAAAGGAAGAATGTGATAAAAGGTTACGAAGGAAGGATGAACAAGATAGAGGAATGAGGCAGAAAAACAAGACAAAGATAGCCTGTGTGACTGCAAGAATGATGGTACCATTGACAGACATAAGATAATATAGCGTTAGTCCTAGTCAGAATTTATAGCATCGTATTTCACAAGTTTGAAATTTAATATTTCATTTATATAGCTTAACTATTAATTAAACTATTTGATTAACTAGACACTCCATTCCTTAATCATACCAGATATCAAAGAGCTTACTATATGCAGAGAATATTCACACTGACATCAGCAAGAGATAGAGGGCTGCCTATTCTACAAAGAAACCAGTTAGCTCTTTGTTACTTTGTAGGACAGGATTCTGGGACTCCAGTATTGGTAAGTAAGGAGATGACCTGTACCTTCTTCTTCAGTTGTTGGACCTCAGGGGAAGAAAGTGCAATGGCTAAGAGAGAAATGAGCTTGTACGTCACCCAGCTTCTGAAGACTTTTAAGGCTGAGGGACTATTCCTAGGAACTTTGTTGAAGCCTGTGCTCTCTTTTCTGGGGAGATGGGTAGGTGAATAGGCTAAAGATCATAAAGTGAGACTCCATAATTAAGGCTTTTGGTGGATATGAAGAGATGTGTTCTCAGTCAGTTTCCTATTCTTTCCACAGTGACTCCGAATTCTACTTCGCACAAGCAGACAACAGGATAGGAGGAAAATATTGGAAGGCTCAGTATGTGGAGTATGTTGATGCAACTTTTACTCAAAGAAAGAGACTCTCTGAGGCAGAAGCCCATCTTGGAATTCTTGGTAGAGAGAAACCATCCGTTATGTTTTGCATGGGGGAGGGGAGGTGTTTTAGCAGGTCATATACATCTACATGGAATGACTCTTCTCCTGCCCATTTGTACATCTCTCTGCCTCTTTTCAATCTCTTATCCCTCCTCCTCCTGATATTTTTCAGGCCCAGTCATCAAGGCAGAGGTGGGAGATATCCTGTTAGTGACCTTTGCCAACAAAGCTGACAAAGTTTACAGTATTTTACCCCACGGCGTGGTCTATGACAAGGCTTCTGATGCAGCCCCAAACATAGATGGTAAGTCTCAGTCCAAGCTTAAGTAGGAAACAGGATGAGCATGCAAAGGACTTAGAACTGCACAGATCAGGTTCAAATCCTGGTCCCTTCACTTACCAGCCCACTGAGCTTGGGTAATTATTTCAATTTTCTAAACCTTATTCTTCTCACCTATCAAATGGACTTAATGATGGTCACCTCACGGGGCTTTGCGAAGAGATGGAAAGAATTCAGTACAATGTCTGGCTCACAGTAGGTCCTTGGAAAATACCAATTCTTTTTCTTTTCCCTCAGTAATGTAATAAATCTCAAAGCAAGCTACTTTCATAGTCACCTCCACTTCTTTAAGGTGAAAAACTTTTCTGCTACAGTTTGCATAGGATTCTGTGGGTGAAGACTGAGGAGGAAAATCTGATTTCCAATGTTTTGTTGACATCAAAATCTTACACATGGTCTTTGCTTTGTATTTATTGACAATTATTTATCACCATCTCTCCCCATCACAGAGTAGGTAGCACCAGCTCTCTACACATAGAAAAGACATCTTCCGCCCAGCTGCTGCAGGAACTATCTTTCCATCTATGATATTGCTCCCAGGAAACTCCTGATCTTCTTGGAAGCCTTACCCATCACCACAGCTGACATTGTGGCTACCTGGGCTGCTTCTTCATGCCCTAGTGAGGCCAGGCCCATCCAGAGTGGGCTTTGTGGTGATGGTGAGGGGACACAGGAATGGAGAGAATTCCTTCTCCCCAGACCCATCCTTACCCTCCCCTGCTGCAGCATCTCCTGTACCTGCACTCACTTTTTTGGTCAAATGCTCACAGTGACTTTTTGTGTGTGTGCAGGAAGGACCTGTGACAGCCCAAATGTCTATATTTTCTATTGTTTAACTCAGCAAACTTATTGGGCACTTTTTTGCAAAGCTCTGGCCAAGATGCAGAGTCTCTGGCCTCAATATCGTGGAGATCCAATGTGTTCATTTGGCAACATAATGTGAGGATTAATCGCACAATCTTTGGAATCAAACAGCCTTGAGTTTGAATCCCAGATATGCTATTTACCAGCTTAGCAAACATTGGCATTCACTTATTTCCTCTATCTTATAGTTATTTCCTAGTTCAACCTTCAAGAATTTAAACTCTTTAAAGATCGGTCTCTTGCTTAATTTTTTTTTGGTATCCTCTTTAGGGCCAACTATAATATATTTCACATAGAAGGCACTTGATATTTTCTAGCTCTACATTTAATCACTAAATGGACAACTATCACTCTTTTAATAATTTCTAAATCTGGTATTTGAGTAAGAAATAGTATCAATGAAGATACTAAATTTAATCTGTGAAGAAGTCAATCCTTAATGTAAGATTCTATCTCATGAGACAGCAGACTGTGGCCGTGGCCTCCCCTGGTAGATACAAAAACAAAAACAACGATCTTTCTGAGCAAAATACATCATTAGAGAGAGACACTTCGAGCTAGAAGACCTAGTTGGACACTTTTAATGTTCTTGGCCATTGCTTTGAGTAATTGTTTCATTTATCTCCTCAGGATTTCTGAAACCAGGGGCACACGTTAAGCCAGGTGAAACTTTCACATACAGATGGATAGTGCCTGAAAGTGTAAGCCCAACAGCTGATGATCCTCCCTGCCTGACTTATCTTTACTTCTCAGCAGTTGAGCCAATCAAGGACACCAGCTCTGGCCTTGTAGGGCCTTTGCTAGTCTGTAAAAAGGGTGTTCTCAATGCTGATGGGACACAGGTAGGTCATCAAATGTTACCAAGTTCTGCTCAGGGTTGTATGTGAGAGAAGTCGGTAAATACGGCTAGAGATTAGATAGTAATAGTCAGTTACAAAAAAGCAATTTTTCCTCCTTCCTCTTGAAATTGATTTCTATATACTGGGAATTTCATTTTCTTTGTAAATTTAAGATCTGACTTTCCAGATTTCTGCTTGTTGTGGTTGCAATTTGGTGGGCCTCTCCCTGAGCATTGCTTTGATTCTGGGATCTTCTGAAATCTACATGGAATGCAAATTGGGATCCCTACTTCTTGGACAAGGTTTCTCAAATTTGGCCAGTAGAATCACCTGGGGACCTTTTAAACCTCTTTTATTCAGGTGCTCCAGACCAATTAGAGCAGAATCTCTAGGTGATTCTAATGTGTGGCTAAGATTGAGAATCACTGTAACTCATCACTGTGAACTGGAACTTAATCACCATGGTCAAAGAAACAAGAAAGCCTGTAGATAACTTCTGGCAAGTCCCACCTGAAGGCTTGGATGGTTGCACTGATTAGTATGACAAAGCATAGCATTCCAAGCTATGTCTACATGATATTAAACATAATGACGAAAACAAGAAAATCAAGTCATTTAACCATTTGGAATTACTTCACCAATCAGAACTAGCAAGACTATTTATTTAAATAGTATATTTTATAATGTTTGGAATTGTATAAAACCACATTGAGGCTCTCAGGAATTTCTAGGTAGAAGACACAAAGTACATTGGCTCTCCTCAGATTTTTCAATTGCTTGCACAAAGGTCTAATCCTGGAAATACCTACAGGAGGTTCTGAGTGTCCCTGACCCTCTGAATGACCCTCCATTATGCTTGTGCAATAAGACTGTTTACATTGGACCACAATAATCATATAAGGCAAAGTAGAATGATCACCTCTATTTTAAAGCTGAAGAAACTGAGGTTCAGAGGCATTAAGTGATATCCCAGGAAACACATCTAGTAATTAGCGATAGAGGTAGAACATGGAACTCTGAGCATCCATCAATCTTTTCCCAATACACTACTGTTTCCTACTAGCTAAATACCTGAGCCAAGAGAATTGAGTGCCAGAAAAATTTTGTAAGGCACTTCTGATTTTGCCCCCATTGCATCCTATCAATGGTCATTTTGAGATTTGCTAAAAGTATCTTATAGTCTCTGGGAGTTGTTCCATGAGCCAATACCATTCTTGGCCAGTGTATTAACACAAAATCATGAAAAAAAAAAAAAGAAAGAAAGGAAAAAACAACAGCATTAGAACCTAGGTCTGCCTGCTGCCATAGCCCATGATCTTTTTTTTAATTAAATTTTTTTTTTATGGTGACATTGGTTAACGAAATCCAATAAGTTTCAGCTGTCCATAGTTAGATTTCTTGCTGTCACCACATACTTGACCCCTTTTACCCCATCTACCTCCCCGCTCCCTCCACCTCCTACTCTCTGGTAACCACTAGTCTATTGTCCATGTCTATGAGTCTCTGTTTGTTTGTCTTGTGCTTTTGTTGATTTTAGGTTTCTATCCCACATATAAGTGATATCATGTGATTTTCAACTTTTTCTGTCTGGCTTATTTCACTTAGCATGATTATCTCGAGGTCCATCCATGTTGTTGCAAATGGCAGTATTTCATCTCTTCTTCTGGCTGAGTAATATTCCATTGTATATATGTACCACAGCTTCTTTAGCCAATCATCTATTGTAGGGCACTTTGGTTGCTTCCATGTCCTGGTCACCATGAATAATGCTGCTATGGTGAACAAATATCTTTTTCAAATATGGGTTTTCAAGTCTATGGGGTGAATCATATGGTAGATCAATTCTTAGTTTTTTGAGGAATCTCCATACTGTTTTCCATAGTGGCTGTACCAATTTGCAGTGCCACCAGAAGGG